GCTGTGACAGTGGGAGACCTCCTGGCTCTGGCGTGGCCCACTCTTAGGGCCATGGGAGGAAGGCACCAGCGAAAGGAAGATCTTTCTTCGTGGCTGTGCTTTTTAAATCAATCTTTAAAAATAAAAAGGAACAGATCTTTAAAGAAATGATTTAAAATGACCTCCCACAGTCTTTGGGGTAGGCCATAGGAAAGGCTTTGAAGAAATGGAAAGGGAGAAGCAGGCATTTGACCTAAGCAGTTAATATTGCAGTTGGGAGACATGTTCCAGATTAGAGTTCTTGGCTTTAGCTTCTGACTCCTCAGCTAATATGGCTATTAGCTGTGACGATGGCTCAAGTAACTGGGCTCTTGTCACCCAAGGGAAAGACCTGGATGGAGATCATGGCACCTGGCTTGGGCCTAACCTAGTCCTGGCCATTGCTGGCATTGGGGTAGTGGACCAGTTACATGGGAATTCTGCTTTGTTTTTGTCTCTTAGTCTCTCAGATAGAATTAAAACAAGAAACAACTTTACAGGAGGACCCCCAGGGAGTAACAAAATGCACAAGTTTGAGCAACATGGAACTTGTTCCTTCTTCCAATGGGTTGCGTGCCAGACCTGCAGAAATGACCCTGCCACACTGGGCGCACGTGGAGACGTCAGCCCTGGCATGAGGCTTACTCCCCAAGGCCCCGGCTTGTGCGGCCTCACCACGCAAACAGTCCCAACACAGAAGGACCACCGAGTATGCTTTGGAGACAGCACCTTTCTTCAGAAAGCAGCAAAATCAGTCCAAAAGAGGCTGCCGTTACAACGGCACGTGACAAAGTTGATTCCGTAACTGCTTGCTGGGCTAAAACTTCCCAAGGTGCTTTGTCTCTGGGCTTGTGTGAAAGCAGCTTATTTTGGCTGTTTATTTTGTCTCTACCTCCCTACCACCTAATTTGCCCCGTGTAGATAAAATGAGTCATCACAGTCAACCCGAAGGAATCTGCTGAAACTGAGCTTTTTATCATGAAAGGAGAGAGTGATGTCAGTGTTGATTCGACTCCCGAGAAGGGCAGTCACATCACGAGTCCTGGATGCAGGCAGCCAGGTGAGGACACAGATTTCCGACGTCAGCAACACCAGGCACTGGGTCACCGTCGGCACTCAGCTGGATTTCCCTTTCCTGGAAGGTGGAGAATGTCTCTTACTCGCCTTCACAGTCCTGAGACCCAGATTTCCTGGATATAGTCTCAGGGTTTTGGAGGTGTTCGAGACCTCAGATACTCCCATCTTACAACTTGGGAGGCAGCGGAGAGATGACGAGACACTTGGCCCTGATGATTTGTTCGGGCAGAGTGTAGGGTTAGAACCCAATTCTCTGACTTACAGCCCCTGTCCGTCAAACAACATACACACACACACACACACACACACACACACACACACACACACAGACATCCCAGGTAGTGTGGGACGGTTGCGTCGTGCCTGTTGTCCCGGCTTACTTGGCAACAGAGCCCTGCGTCACCACTGTTAAGTATCTGGTTGAAAAATTATAAGGTGAACCTAATGGTATAATATCCTCCTTTCCCGTAACTCGCAGGTAAGGGGAGAGAGTGGAAAGGCTGGTGTGCCCAGCTGGAGGTGGTAACCGGAGCACTGCTTTGCCCCAGGCAGGATGGAATTTCAGACTGGAGTGCAGGACAGAGATAAAGAGCCTTTACAGAATGAAGAGTCTGAGCGTGCACCTCCTTCTGCTTTTCCCTAACAGCGGAGGGGAAGCCCTGAGCTAACACCAGCTCCTAGTTTCCCATCTCTCACACTGCCGCGCAGCTGCCAGTAAGGATGAAACTTCAGTGTCACGGACTGGAGGGTTTGGAGAGACAGGGTGACTTGGTTCAACAAGACACACTCGCATTGTGACATCAGTTCCCACTGTAAAGTCATGAAAGCCTCAGCTGGCTCCGCTGGTGGCTGTGACGAGGTGAAGGCTCATGGAGGCCCCGGGAAGCCTCATTTCCTTCCTCTGCACACCTGGCTGTGTGCCAGGCTGCTTCTGAGCTCAGCTGGTCCTCTCTGCCCATTCTGCCACTCCTGTATATGCTTACACATGTATATGTGAAATAGGTCCACGTTAGTAATAGCAAGAGTAGTCTTGGGCTAACACTTTTAATGCAACTGTATCCCTAGCTCTGGAAGAGAAGTCACATTTGGCATATGTAATTTCACTTTACCAACTCTTGCAAGAGTATTGGATTTTTCTATGTGTTCACATTATGCCCACGTCATCCCACAGTGAAATATGACAGTATTTACTGCAGAGATTATTCATTTCAGGGAAGACGTGCTGAGACGAGGAATTTGAATGGATCCACTCACCTTTTTACTTGGACTCTTTATCATTAAAGGGCATACATGTTAGCTCAAATCCTGGCAGACAGGGCACCCTCTTCTTATCTCTTCTGTACCCTGGATGGCAGATCTGACTTCCAGATCCCACACTTTAAAACGGGATCCCATTGGGTACCCTCTGATAAAGACCTACCCGTCCCTTCTTGTGAGTGAGCAATACTAGCTGAACAAAGGGCCAGGGCTTTTCTGTGCTCTCAGATCTTGCCCCCTTTGCTCTCCAGCTGTCAGTTTAAAGAAAGCACCAAAGCACCGGGTGCTTTTAAGAGCTGGGTCTGAAGCAGAGCTAACTGGTGCATACAGCAATGAAGCCCTTGACCTTGGCCTCATTAGCTTCATCCTCTTACCTACCCGGCTCACCACTGCCAATACTGCACCACTGGGGAGCATCGCTCCTTACAGCGCATGCGGTGGCACGTCTGTATTTGCTTGGTTTGATAGTTGCTCTCAAAATAAGGCAGCATTCTCTACTGATGAGCTCCTGCGACTGAGAACAAGACACACACACCTACTTATGAGCCAGATCAGGCCAAGGACAGAGGAGGGGGGATTTGTGATATGGTGACACCGTGGCTTCCAATCACAATTTTTGTCCCCAGAAATTCTAAGTGGTTTTTTTTTTTTTTGTACTGACAGTAAAATAAAAATCACACAGACTTTGTAACTGAAGGGGCAGGCTAGGTAGTACATTCCTTGCCTTCGTGTCAAGCTTCAGTAAACCCACCTCCTCTTAGCAGTGGCTGTGAGCTATTATCTAAGCCGGAAATGTACAAGGCAGGAAGCGCAAAGGAACATAAAATTGGGGGTACGGGCAGCTGCCAAATGTAGCAAGGGTAAAAGCTAGGGAGGAAAGGATGAGAGGACCAGGAAGGGAGCGGGCAATAAATGCTTGTTTATTCTCCATCACAGCAGAAGGGAGGGGCGTGTTCTGAAACACTTGGCACGCGAGGCAATGGCCCTTGCCTGGAGCCAGGCTCTCTTTTGTGAAGTGTTAGTTAACAATAGAAAAAGTTACTATTTTTTTAAAAAAAAAGTTGGCCAGCAATAAAACACAAACACTAGCCAGGTTCTTGGGGGACGATCCATCCATTTAAGGAAATGTGCCAAGGGATTAGGGGGTTAGGCTCTGAGTTGCCTGGCTCCAAAGAAAGCACTGGTGGAAAAGCCCTACTGTGTGTTTACATGTTGGTCAAGTGAGAAATCTGGCCACCCCACGTGCACCTCATCGAACAAAGAATCAGCACTGAATGCATCTAGATACCCAGTTGTCCAATAGAACAGGGCTCCAAGTGCAGACCCTAACCTTACCTCTGCACCCAAACCCTCATTTGGGGACTATGTTCAGGACCCCTACTGACTTCTGGTCTGCTGTCACTTATAAATGATTCCAAGATTGTTGTGAATCACACAGGAACAGCAACTGGGGTATTGGAAAGAACGATCCGGTGCCAAATTTACTCTAATAAAACCTCTGAGTTTAGAGGAAAACTCTAATTTAACACTGTAAGTTATGGATTTGTCTTCTTCCCCAAGTTTTTACTACCTCGTTAAAAGTCTTTACTAACTTCCCATTACTATTCCCTGAATATTCTCCCCAGAAATACTCTTTCCAGAAATCAAAGATCCCCACACGCCGGTTCAAACTGAATCTCTCTGGACTAACTCTGCATAACAGCAAAATGTTGGCCTCTCGGGAAGGAGGCCGATGGCTCCAGGGGTTGTTGCTTTGATTCTACTTGGGCTATGTTTTGAGATTTTTTTTTTTCATACTGAAAACAGATAGGAGGAAGGTAAGTTCTATAAGCCAAGCATGGATCTCTATTCTAAGGCTTAAGCCTGCCCTTGTGTCATTTTCTCTGCCTGGAAGGTTCTCCACTCCCTTTGATGCAGCTATGGTTCAAGTAGGATTTGGTTTCAGAATTCATGTGGGCGTTTAAATGCCAATGATACAATGAGGCTGGAAACTTCATTGGTTATGGTGTTCAGGTGGGGGGTCTAGCGGGAAGTTCTGAGGGTACCGTGAGTCCCTGGAAGGTCATTCTCATGAGAGGGTTGCTTACAAAAGCTGCACTGGACCCAGACACTCTCCTATGGCTTTCCTGGGAGATCTCTCGTCTCTGCTGCCACTGATGACTTCTGGGCGCTGCTTGGCCTTACAATGCAAACCTCCCAAATCATGCGAGATAAACCCCCTTACTCCTGAAGAGCTTGTCTCAGATATTTTACTGTAGTGAAGTAAAAACAAAACCAAACCTGCCTCTCCTACTCCTGCTGGCTCTTCCGGGAATCCTCCCGAGACTCCTCCCTTAGGGAGCTGCACCTGCTTCCTGTACCCAGATGCAGTCGCGCCTTGCACTACTGCTTAAGGTACCCACTGCCACGGCGATGCATTTATACCACGTACATTCATCTCAGTGCTTCGCTTCGTTTGTGAATTCCAGGAACCAAGAGTGTATCTTATTCAACCTGGCACTCCCCGCAGCACCTTCCACTTTGTAAACTCAACAGACCCGTGTTAAACGAAAACTGGATTTTCATGAATAAGAGCAGCTTATCACTTTGAACTAGACCTCTTGGTTTTGTCTACACCTTAAGCAAGCAAAGAGATGCCTCCCCCATACCTTCTTCATGGTTCTGGTGCAGCAGAACTTCCGGCTGCGTGTGTATGGAGTTCCCAGGGTGGAAGAATGGTGAAAAAAGAATCCGGGGTTTCCTCTGCTTCAGGATATGCTGAAGAAGTTCATACAGCACGTCACCTGGGAAGAAAAAGGACTGGCAATTAGAGAAACGACCACACAACAGCCGCCCGCTGACCCGCCGCTCTGTCTGGCACTGTACAAAGCATATACTCACGACCCAAACAGAGAGCTTACAGAGAACAAGACATGGTGCCAGAAACTTGCAAGACCACAGCCACGTGATTCAAGATTGTTTATAAATATATATTTAAATCAGTTCATCATTTGTAGGGCAGAGAGAGTTCCCGCCCACCGTTCACTCCCCAAAATGCTTGCAATGGCTGGGCTCAACCATGGTGGAAGTTTGGAGCCAGGAAGTCAGTCCAGGTCTAGGACACGAATGGTGGGAATGTCATCATTTGAGCCATCCCCTGGTGCCTCCCAGGCTGTGCCTTAGCAGGAAGCTGGAAGCAGGAGCTACGGGCAGGCAACCAACCTCGGCTCTGTGACGTGGGCTGCGCAGGTCTAAGCCAGTGTGGCAAGCATAGACAACTGCCTACCCCAGTCACATGGGTTGCTTTGTTTTTAAATCTTGAGTGTAAAATTGTGATTTATAAGCCTCATGGATGTAAAGGAGACATGGGAAAAAGGAATTAAGAGAGGATTTGAAGTTGTGTGGAAGCCATGTTTCCTTTTATATTTCATAATCTGCATTGTCCATAAACATTTTGAAGACTTCTAGTGATCTACAACATTTTTAAAAAGAAAACCATAAATGAAACAAAAATGTCTACAACCATCAGTAGGAGAGAGAGCCCTATTAATATTCTTGATGTAAGTTACAATTGGACTTTAAAGTAGTGAGTGTGTCTTTTTCCCTGTTGGTTTTATTTGAAGACGCTACTATTTCATGGAACTGCTTTACGAACTGCATAATAGCTGCCCAGGGAAGGGATATACAAGATTGTATTGGAAATCTAAATTGTCCCAACTTATTACTATAACTTTTGTGAAAAAAAAATCATTTTTAATAACTATCTTTGTTTGCAATTTGGATTATTCAAAAGGTTATGAGTCATTAAGCATGAGCATTTTTAATGTTTAATGACAACTTGTATATTCTTCATAGAAATCGTCCTCACAGAGGAAAATGTGCCTTTCTAACTCACCCCAATCCCGGGCAGGAAGAGAGAAGAAAATTGTGGGGTGGTGAGGCAGGGGACCCAATTCCCAAGTTGGGTCAGACACGCTAACCATTGAAGATGCTTTATAAGGATCTGGCACATTCTGGGATGCCTCCCTCCTTTAAAAATACATACAGGCAAGGCTCCAGGATCTATAATTTCTAGAAAATCATCTTGAGATGCCACCCCTCTCAGGGAATGGTGGGGGCTACTCTGAGCAGAGGGGCCTTCCCTTCTGGTATCTTCGGTAGACAAGTGGCCACCATGTAGTTAACGAGTAACACAGTGATGGGAGTTTGGTTGTACCCTTGTGGCTTTGGTCCAAGTTCTACATGTAGGTGGGTGCTTCAAACTTGTGAAGAATGGGTGATTAATCTTGAAAATGCCACAGGCCTCTCACTGTCCACCCCCCCCCCCCACATAGATATGCAGTCAACAATTGTAACCAAACAATGGGCCTCTGTTGCTAATTTCAGCCATTCTTAACAGACACTTTAATTAACAAGTGTGTTTTGGGGGCTGCAGATATTGCATCTTTTTTCCCCCTTCAAATGCAGCATGACCCTGAGAACGGTACAGTCATCCCTTTCCTTATATAAAGCCCCACTCAAAGCACTCTGCTGTTTGGGCCACATTGCATTCCACAATCACCCCATTCTAAACAGTTCCTAGGGGCCTGGGCATCTTGGACACTATCCCTCCTTCCACCTTTGCATTGTGGTTGCTTCTCATGGAATTTCCTGTCACTGCTTACTATTAACAATGAAATGAGGCAACAGAGTTCAGGTAGCTGAAGACAAGGTGTCTTTTGGGTATTTCACGGACAAGGGTGCTCCAAGCCTGCAGGTGTTTGGAAATGTGGGGCACAAAGCAGAACCATGGCACATGACTGTGTCTTGGGGCTGGAAGGGGCTTTGGGACTTTGGGACTCCAAGCCGAGTAGTCATGGTGATATCTTGGAGGAGATGCAGAAAGGGAGCCTGAAATACCGTCCTATTTTAATGATTCATATTTTAATCTCATATAAAAATAAGCCCCAAATCAACACTTTGAGTTTTTTTGCTTTAGTGCAATGTCTTCCTGAACTTTTCCTAATTTACAGGGCCTCATACTTGCTGGGTTTCAGCCTGTGGGTTTGATCAACATTTTTATTTCGGCAGTATGCAGAATAGAAGGGGAACGCTGTAAAAAAAAATGTGTTTCTGGTGATTACTATTCCAAAAAATAAAAAAAAAAAGGTCAGTAATTAGTGTATCCGTTTTGGATGGAGAGACCAGGAAATACAAATTTAGTGTGTGTGAGGGTGTTCAACTCTGTTCACTCTGCAAGAAGGCAGGCTGGCACGGCTGTGTGGCCGTGACCTTGAGCAAGTCCCCGATCGTTCTGCATAATGCGTGTAGCAACACTTGTCCCAGAAGCGTGCTGCGAGGAAAGGGTCCAGATGCATCTAGTGAGCGGGCTGCATGTTGCTCCCTGGGTCCTGCCCGCTGTTTCTCGGGCTGGGAGCAGCTCTTGGTTGGCGGGCTAACCCAAGGGCAGTAGGCTGAGCCGGCTATGTTCTTTTCTGTGGTTGCATTTCTCAATATACACAGGCAAAATGAAGCAACATCAGAGTCGCATGAACAGACCACACCGACCTGCTTGCTACTGTAGCTCAGACGCCACTTGGGTCGCTGCCCCTTTGAAGGGCCTGGGTTTGAGTCTTGCTTTGCTTTCAATTCTAGCTTCCCGTGAAGGCACATCTTGAGAGGTAGCAGGTGATGGCTCAGGTAGCTGGGATCCTGCCCGCTAACCTGGGAGACACGGATGGAATCCTTGTCTTTAGGTCTTGCCCAGCCCTGAATGCTGTGGGTCAAAGAACTGAACTGAGACCACTTTCATTTTCTTGGACCCCTGCCTGGGGCTGCCATGGGACCAGAGCCTGTTTGGCAGACTTGCAGTACTGCTCGCTTTAGCCTTGTATCTGCCAGCTGATAACAGGGGGCCAGACAGAGGAAGGATCTGAGTGTGCAGGAGATGGTGGGGAGGGGAAAATCAAGGGAGATTCTTCATTTCCTACCTAAACCTGAAGATTGCTATAAGTTCTGATAAGAAACTTTCTGCTTTTAAATTTTAACTCCTCATTAGATCCTAACAGATTCAATGTGATTTAGAGATACAATTCTAAGAACATAATGATGCTCCCCTCCTCCTCCCACCTATCCCCCTTCCCACGTGCCAGCCATGAAGGATCGCTAACGGGCGGCAGTGTGAACCTGTGGTGCGAGGTCAAGAAAAACCTTAACTCCGAGATGCTACAATGTGGCCATCAATCCATTCATGGACACACTTCCTCAGCTACCAGGTGAGAGACTGGGCAGGTGCAAAAGGCGAGGAAGAAAAAGGAGGGGAACCAACTTACTACACACACACACACCACGTGCATGACTGCCAGTGGGTGCCCATAACTTGGCATGATAAACCTAGAGGAGTCTAGAAGTTTTTTAGACAGACTCCAACTTTCTTTTCACTGAGTCCCCCAGCTTCCCACTCCACACCCAGCATGTGCTTGGCTGAGTTGTTCCCAAGATGGGTAGCCTGCTAGCGCACAGCAAACTGCTTTTGGACAACTTGACCTGACAGCAAATTCTTTTGCTTTGTTAGAACCTGCTTCCCTTGCAATTCCCATTCCTTGGTCCTAGAGTAACACAGAATAAGTACCTTGTTTCCAATAGGCTTCCAAATACCTGAAGATGGCCCACTATTCCTCCTACAACATCTATCATCCCTTCATCACTCCAACATCAATCTGTTCTCTTGATGCATTCCTCAAATCTCCCTACTTGCTACAGATCATATCTAGAAATACTATTAAAAACAGGATTGTTGGTATATAAAAAAAGATACTTCAAGGTAAGTGAAATCTATTTGCCTACTGAAAATAAACAGTGCAAACACTGGATACCTAACTCAGCTTGTGACCACTGTCTTCAAGCTGAAAGGCACTTTTCAGAAAGTATATAACCTATCTGATTCTTGACAAACCTCCATGGTCTTCCCATGGAAGGAATAACTAATGCTAATTAAGCTTTCTAATACTAAACAGCAGCACTGAGACACATTGGTCAAGGGGTGAGAGTCCCTGTATCTGCGTGCACAAGTGCCTGTGCAAAGGTGGCTTTGCTCTAGAGCAGGGGAACTTCAGGGCCCTTGCTCACATCCCTGGGAGGAGTCCTAGAAATACTGACATCCTCCAACTAAAAGCTGCAGGCCAGGGCTGGTGCGATGACTTCTCAGGCTAAGCCTCTGCCTGTAGAGCTGTCATCCCATGTGGGCACTGATTCGAGTTCCAGCTGCTCCACTTCCAAGCCAGCTGCTGCCTCTAAGGTGCCTGGGAAATTAGCAAAGGATGCCCCAAGTTCTTGGACCCCTGGACCCATGTGGGAAACCTGGAAGAAGCTCGTGGCTTCGACTGGCTCAGCTTCAGCTGTTGAAAGTGGGAAGTGAACTAGCAGAAGATCTCTCTCTCTCTCTCTTTCCTCTGTGTAAATCTTTCAAATAAAAGTAAAAAATATTTAAGAAAAAAAGCTGCAGGCCCTAACACAGATATTCCTGAGTTCATGTATGCACACACACACACACACACACACACACACGTACGTTTATATTGGTGATCTTGAGAACTGAAACTTCTATTTGAGACAGAACAGTAATTAAGTGATACTGCTGCCCACTGACTTATTTCTCTTACAGCGTCTGAAGGCCAAGAACAGCACTGCTTGGGAGTTTAAGCTGCTTGAAAGAATTTTATTTTACAGGAAAAGAACTTGGGTTCTGGAGCAGGGCAGTCTCAAATACAAAATCTCTCTTTTTTCCTTTTGGCAAACTACAGGTTGTCTTTGAGCCTTAACTCCT